GAGAACATGTTGCTTTCCTCACAGTATCCTTATAAGGATTAGACCAAGGTAACTTGGGTAAATATTACAGTGTAATACCTGGCTTATCAGTGGATACTTGACAAATGTTCAACAGGATGAAAGAAGGTTAAAGTGAATCCATTTTAGTCACAGTTTCATATAGGTCTCAATATAACACCTTCAAAAAGAGAAGCAAGAAGCACCTGCTGTATCTGCAAAAGAAGGTGACAGAAACCAGATTTGTGCTCTTGTCTCCAGAACAGAGTTCATCAAACATTTTCTGTAGAAGACCAGAGAGTAAATAGGCTTTATGGACAATATCATCTGTGTTGCACCTGTTCACTTCTGCTGCTGCAGAGTAGAAGTATTCATAGGCAATGCACAAATGAATGAATGTGGCTTTGTTGCAATAAAACTTTACTTATAAACATAGGGAGTGGGTAGGACTTGACTAGAGTATGATAGTTCACTGACCTCTGCTCTAGACTATGAAAGATGTTGCAGCAGATGAATAAAAATGTGAGAGATTAGAAGAGGATTTGGGGATTAAAGGACTCACTTATGGTGAGTCCCTTATTACCCTATCACCCGCTTTGCACACCAAGCACAGGGTAACAGGGCAGAGAGCATCTTTCTTCATCTCAGGTGAGAAAGGGTTTGAAGAGACCACTCAAAGAGGAGCCTTTGTGAACTTGTGTCTAACTAGCACCTGAGACATTACCAGCTAGCCCATAGCTTGAAGGGAGAAGAAAGCAGCTGAACTGGGACTCAGTTGAACTCAGCATTTCTAAAAACAAAGGGTGCATTGTGGTCTTTTGTGGACCAATGTGGTCCTCACATAAGAGAGTTGTCTTAGCTCTTGCTTGAGAAGGGTGAGTGAACTTGATTGAAAAATGCCAGAGGCATACCAAAAAGAGGAAGCTAAAAGGGGAGCCCTACATGATCAACTGAAATAGACATGCACTGTCTCACTGCAAGGGGGAGAGCTCCAGCCATACAGATGGGCTAGCATTATCACAGAAATTCACAGATGTTTGCTGAGAGGCAGAGTTAGACACTTGCCAGCCTCAAGGAGAACCTGTGTTCTCCCTCAATAGTTCTACTCAAGTAATATATTCTCTACCTCTTTTCTCTCTCCTTCTCCCCCATTCCTATTCTCTAGCCTGGAGGGGTCTGAATCAGGCTTAGGAAGATAGGATGAGATAGTAAAAGAGTAATTTAGAAGAAGAAAAAAGAAGCCAACTGTGCACCTCTCTTGGAGTTCAGGGAGCCACACCCAGGAAAGAGAAGTAGCTGCAACATTGGTTAAGTTTAAAGTTTTCGCCTGTAATCCCAGCACTTCTGGAGGCTGAGGCAGGAGGATCACTTGAGCTCAGGAATTTAAGATCAGTCTGGCCAACATGGTGAAACCCCATCTCTACTAAAAATACAACAATTAGCTGGGAGTGGCACATGTCTGTAATCCCAGCTACTCGGGGGCTAAGGCTGGAGAATTGCTTGAACCCAGGGGCAGAGGTTGCGGTGAGCCGAGATCACACCACTGGGCTCCAGCCTGGGCAACAGAGTGAGACTCCATGTTATCAAAAAAAAAAAAAAAAAAAAAAAGGGTTTTGATTATTTCACTGGAATAGACAAATTAATTCTTTCTTAATTACCTATATGCTACTTACTTATGCATGACCAGAAAAAATGTAAGACTTACCCTAAATGTAATCCAGGGGCAGAACATAACCATCTCCACAGAATAAATGCAAAAGAAAAATAAGAGATAAAAATAAAGTTACCTTATGATTGTATCCCATGAGATATGCTTTTCAAGGTAATGGATATAAATGTTAGTGTCCTCTTCATATCCAAGAACATGAACTTAGTTAAAACTGGGCCAGCAGCTCTATATTGTATCATAGTTACTGAACTTTCATTTACTGAAAGAAACATTTCAATGCACATCTTATTCCTCAAACGTTGCTGTTCGATTATAAAACCAGATTATCAGTTTGGGAATCTAAGCTATGGGATATAGACTAACCCCTCACCTCAACACAGTACATTTCCGTGTTCTAGATACATAAATCTAGAAACGTACATTATGACGCGTTAGCATCTTACAACTGCAGCATTCGTTATCTTAGAATCAAAGCAGCCCTGTTTCTTGGGATAGAGCTTATTAGAAACATAACCTCAAGATACCTTACAATCTAAGATAAAAAGCCTCTCAAGATCTTAACATCATGGAAGCTTAGAAAAGTAGTCTTAGATTTAAAGAAACCTTACAATAAAAAATAGAATCTTAGAAATTTAGAATTGTGACTTCTTAGAACCATATCACTTAAAACCTTACAGGTCTTCTATAATCTTGGGATCATAGAATTGCTAAAGGTCAGAATCCTAGTGTGTTAGAAAACTGAAATGATAGCATTTTTGAGTCCTGCAATTGAATCTTGCTGGGATCTTAGGTATTATCTATTTCAACTTCTACACAATGTAAAGATCCCTTTATAAAAGTGTTAGCAACAGCAGCAATATTGAAATTGTACAATAGATAATTCTTTGCTGGGGGGAGCAGAAACAGGCACTCACCTGTGCACTGCTGGATTTCTGACCTCTACTGAGTGGTTTCCACTAGCACCTCTTCAGTGATCAGCCATTGACAAATGTCCCAACCACTGTTTTATACATCCTTGGTGTGTGGATTTCCCTGGGGGAGGAAATTATCTTCTAAGACTTTCTTTCAACATTTAAAATTGAATGTATACTCTGTGCTAGACCTGATCTCATTTGAATCTCTCAGTTATTATCTTTACGTTTTACAAAAGAGAAAGTGGAGGTTTAGAAAAGTTGACTTACTGGGTCAGGGTTACACAATTGATAGCGTGTTGGAGAAGAATTTAAAGCTGTAATATTTTGACTATCCCACATCTTTAAAAGCTGAAACTGTCCCGACTTTACTGTTTGGACAGCATTCGCTATAAGAAATCACTTCTTTTGTTGAGCCAGATCCTATTTTTTTTTCTCCAGTCTATATTCATAATGTCATTATCATGTGGTTATGGGTTTATGACTAAAAGGCTATATATGAAGTTAGTTTCTATAATCAGACTCTCTGAAGTCCAATTACAACTCATGACATATCACTGTGACCTTGGATAAGTTCTTCACTATTTTTTTGCCTCACTTTCTTCAACTGGTATCGGGGTAATTTACTGTTGTGTGACTAGAGACTCCCCCAAAACTTAACGTCTTAAATTAACATCTATTTTGATATAACTCATAATTTTCTGGGTGAGAAATCTGGGCAGAGATTGGTTGAGCTGTTGTTTTCTCCACAGTGTTGACAGAGGCCACTTGATGGTATTCCGTTGGTAGGTGGTTGGTCTGGGGTATCCAGGAAAGGTTTCTCACATGTCTGGCACCTTGGCAGTGATGACTGGGAGACTGGCTTCATATGCAACTATTGACCAAAGGGCAGGCAGAGCCTCTCCAGGTAGAGTGGTAGAAATTCTTAGATGATGGTTCTGGGATCCCAAAGTGAGATTTCCAGTAATGAAGGGGAAAGTTGCATGGCCTTTGATGACCAAGCTTTTGGAGTCACTGAGTGTCTTTTCTGTTGTTCTCTATTGGCCAGCAGTCACAGCCTGCCTAGATATAAGGGAAGAGGGCATAGACCTCACCTTATCATGGAAGAAGTATCTAAGAATTCACAGTCATATTTTAAAACCACTGCACCTATAAAATGAGACAATAATAATTCTAACCTCATTGAGTTTTGAGTCTTAAAAAAAAGCTGCACTTGTTAAAAGCTTATGACACAGCTTAGCATGTAATGACTGATCTGAAATACAAGCTGTTTTTATTTACAGGTGGGCTCAAATTCACAGGAATATCTCTGCAATTGCAAAATTACAGAATCCTTCTTGTCTTCTCAGAGCAGTGGAAACATTAAGGGTTGGGTGGAAGCCAGGGTGCTTGAGGACAAGGAGTTAATTTAGACACAGTTCCCATGAAAGGGACTGTGAGATTAAAAAAATAATCCGTTTTAGAGTATAAAAGAGCTGCTTCCATAAGTGATCAAGGCAGAAGGGCTGCCCTGGATTTATTCATGTCTGTATTGGAAGTGATGGCACATGTGTGCTCCCCTTATGTAGCTACTGTGCTGGGCACACGTACCAAATACACTTAGAAGGGGAAATAATAAATCATTAACAACTATGAGCTTCTCCTTGAATGGAACCATGAGGGGGGAGGATCCCCCAAGCAATTCAAACTCAATTACTCTGTTCACCGAGTGTTTGAAATAGAAACAAATGAAGAAGGCAATTGCAGAGGCAGGCAGCATTCATCAGTGCAGCTGGATGCATTTTGTCCTGGGCCACTGGTTAGATTTTGTAAAACAAAAACAGGAGTAAAAATAATACGAGTGACCCCTCATATTTGCAGAGCATGTCAGAATTAGCAAAGTCACCTGCTAGTCGTCATCCCCTTGAGTTTTCCTGTAAAGCCCAAGTGGTTAATTACAATTGTCCAGTGGAGTGACTGGATTTTATACACATCGATGGTCTTCCCCATTGTTACAGACTATCAGCTGTCAGGCCTAGAGCCCGGTCTTTTGGGTCCTTGCTTAGGCTTATTCCAGTGTATTACCAGTGCTCCTGTCTAGTAAAGGTTTATTTAGTATAAAATTAGGAAATGGCTCAGCTTTTGTTCTTTCTCTTACAGAGAACAATTCAATAATGAGAACATCCTTGAGGATCACAGAGTCCAGAGTCCCCAGAGAGAGAGGCAGGAATCATGTCTTGTAGATGGCGAGTTACCTACACATATGTCTAGGTAAGGCCATATGTGTAGAATGGGTGAGGTGTTTCTTCTACCGTAAACTCTCTCTTGTCTTCCATCTAAGTGTCCTCTGTTCTGCTGGTTTTTTCAATGTCCGGGTCTGGATGAGGGTGACTCACCTGCATGACGGTGGCTCATGAATTTCTGGAGCCCGTGGCATCCACCATAGTGACTTTGTTAGTTTGCTTGGGCTTTCATAACAAGCACAGACTGGGTGACTTACACAACACAACCTTATTTTCTCACAATTCTGGAGGATGGAAATCTGAGATTAATGTGTAAGAAGGGTTGATTTCTTCTGAAGGCCCTGTCTTTGGCTTGCAAGTGGCTATTATACCCCATTGTGTCTTCATATGGTCTTCCCTCTCTTCATATCTGTGTCCTAATCTCCTCTTCATATTTGGACACTAGTCACATTGGATTAGGGCCCACCTTATCCTATGACCTCATTTTATTTCATTACCTATCTAAAAATCCTGTCTCCAAATGCAGTCACATTCTCAGGTACTAGGGGTTAGACTTCAACATACAAATCTTGAGAGAGACACAATTTAGCCTATAACAGTGATCTTCAGAGTAGATTCACCTGCCCGTCTCTGTCACTCTGAGCATGTTAATTCACATGTTAGGTACCAGCACTAAAGTGTGCCAGGCTCTGTGCCAATTAGGCCCTTAGCGTACAGCACAATGCAATGCAACCACAAGCCCAAACTCACAGAGTGAAAGATGAACATATCTCTTATAGTTTGTAATGTAGCTTTGAGCTGCATTATAAATTCCTACCTTAAAGGTTTGTTGTGAATATTAAAAAGTTTACACATGTAGAATGCTTAGTATAAGTGTAGGCAAACAGAAAAAGACTATTCAGTATAAAATTAGAAAATGGCTCAGCTTTTGTTCTTTCTTTTACAGAGAAGAACAATCCAATAACGAGAACATCCTTGAGGATCACAGAGTCCAGAGTCCCAGAGAGAGACAGAGCAATCATGGCTTGTAGATGGTGAGTTAAGAGACATCAGTCACAACTACTTCAGGCTGACTTGTGATCAGAAACTACCCAAAAAGACAGCACGTAGCAAGTCCTGTGTGGCCCTGATTGTACCTATAGGACCAGGTGTTAGAGAAATAGTTGGCTTCTATCCAAGCAAAGTTCAACTCTGTAGGACAAGGCGTTAGAAAAATCACTGGTCTGTATTTGAGTTAAACTCAAGTCTGCAGGAGGACTTCCTTTTGATGAGCTTTGCCCTCAAGGATAACAAATGGAAGGTATGAACTGTGGGCCTTATATGGGACTATACTTAGAAGGGACTCAGGAAACAGTCAGTGAAGGCAGAAAAGAAGGGGGACACTTGAAACCAAATCAAAGATAATTTCTCCATGTTCTAGCTGGGGAAATTTGGTATTACTTAAATGACAAGAGTCGAGAAGGGAAATCAAAGAGTAGAAAGAGGTAAATCAAAAGTGGTATTCAGATCCTTGAGATGCCCATTAGACATCCACGTAGAGATGACTTGTGGGCAGTTGTGCACATAAATCTGACTTCTATAGACAGGTCAGAGCTGTAAGCCCTGGGTTAGGAAACCATAAGCATGCCAATGTCATTTAAAGCCCAAGGGCTGGTAAGGTTAGCTAAGGAGAGTATTCTGAGAGAAAGGAAAGCAGGCTAGATCAATCTTGGTCCTATGCTGGCATTCTTACAGTTAGAGCTTTAATAGAGAAAGAACCAGAGAAGATGCTGAGAAAAAGTCACCAAGAATGTGGTATGTGAAAAGGATAGGGTGGTGTATTGGAAGTCAACAACAAAAACAAAAGTGTTTTCAGACAGAGGGAGTATTTATTACATTTAATGTGGCTGTGATGTCATTAAATAAAAGAACAGAAAAGCAACCATTGAATTTGGCAAAATGGAGGGAATTATGTCCTTAGTAAGAACATATTTAGTAGAGAGGTAGAGGGAGAAACGTAATGGAAGTTAGTTGAAAAGAGAATGTGAGATCAGCAAGTGGAAAAGGTACTATGGTCAACTGCTTTAATAATGTTTTCCATGAATGGGACTCAAATTTTGAATGACTATGAACTTTGCTGTTAGTAGCATCTTACTGCCATCTTACAGATTTGCTGCCAGAGGGGAACAGAAACAAAACTTAATTTTCTCAGTTCTAGTTAAAAAAAAGAAAACCAGTTGGGATACCATCTTGGGTCACTTAATCGTAACCAAGGACTCCAAAAGAATCTGGAAGCTTACAGATAAATCTAAGGCTGGGATGAAAAAAGAGCATTTCTCAGATGTAGATTGACATGAGGGGGAGGGATGTTTTTGAATAGAGGAGGAGTGGTGCTGGATAAATAAAGCAGAATATAAGGACCAGATAATTGGTTCACTAAATGTACGTGACAACTATGTGAGGCAGATAGGGGAGTATTTCTCAGTTCATGCAGGAGGAAACAGGCTTCTGTAGCTCCCCAGTGCAGAGTATAAATTCATACCCAGATGTAAAGGGCTTCCAAGAGCTTATACTCATTTCAGATGGTTATATAATGTCATGCACTGAAAGTCAATGCTATATTTAAACAGCAGGAGAAACAGAAGAGGTGGATCTTTAGGCGTTATGCAGTCGTTTTCTGGAAACTCTCCTGTGCCCTTTCAATGATGCCACATGGGTGCTGTTTACTTTGCCCACCCATGAAGACCTCCTGAGGGTCAGGAATAGGTGACATTCTTTTCTAGGGATCTCAGCAGAGTTCTCTTCATGTATGCCTCTGCTAAAATTGTTAAACCATGAGAAGTACTTTTTTGCATAAGTAAGCTTTTAAAATTCTATTTTGCTGTGTTTCTCTTCTGTTAATTTAGCAAGCAGCTCAACATCTCAAGATCTCAAGATAGTACATCTTCTTGACTTGGTCATGTCTAGGCTCATCTACATGCTTTGAGAGGAAAAAGTGAAAAGCGAAGAATCACTGTTGGTTGGTTCTGATTCATTATTAACTGTCTGTGAATGTGTGTGTCTTTTTTTTAGGCAACAATATGATAATATCATATTTTATATAAGAGAATAAGCCTATGGTCATAGCAGTATTATTTAAAGAAAAACACACAGTAACAAAAGTGATTTGGGGTTCTCTGGAGCTACATTTTAGTTTGTGTGTGATACAATTATATGTGGATTTGATTTTGATAATCTAGCCTCTCCTGTCTATAAAACTGCTAAAACGTCAGGCCCTACTTTGTATTTGCCTTGTCCTGGTAGTTTAAGATAATGCTGATTTCTAAGGGTAGCTGGTAGAAGTGAAGAAATTATAAGAGTATTAGATTTGTTGCTTAGTATATGCTCAGCCTCTTAGATTACACAGTTGAGCTAATCATTATAATTTGTTGTGAGAAAATAAATATTTTTCAACACCAATCTGATTCTTGAATAATCAGAATAATCATCAAACCAAGGCTGGGCTATTACAGTGACCTACTGTGCATGTGTGTGGTTAATCTACAGTCAGTATTGCATGAAGGCAACCTAGTGTAGCAAAAGGAAATGGAGTTTGGATTCCAACATTTGGAGTCAATCGAGTTACTTCCGTGTCTTACTACTTCTTTGATTTGTGGTATATTATGGTCTCTTTGGGTCAAGTTTTCTTATTCTTAAAGCTGCAATGATAATATGCAGGTTCAAGGATTTTCATGAACTTTAAGAAAATTATGGTAAATAGCAGTGTCAATTCAGCCTATGGCAGACCCCAGGAAGGATGTTTCTTTCTTACTATGCTGGCTTTTTAATTTTCTGTCTGCCTATGTCAAATGGTGATCATAGAATCATGAACCCCAATGGAATTATGGTCATCATCGTAAACAAAGCATTAAGACATGAGTAAGGATTGACATTACGAGTACACAGCTCTCCTTGTTCAACTTTCCAAAGTATAAAAAATTGTCGGCCAGGCGGGGTGGCTTATGCCTGTAATCTCAGCACTTTGAGAGGCTGAGGAGTGTGGATCATGAGGTCAAGAGATCGAAACCATCCTAGTCAACATGGTGAAACTCTATCTCCACTAAAAATAAAATCTGGACCTGGTGGCATGCACCTGTAGTCCAGATGCTCAGGAGGCTGAGGCAGGAGAATTGCTTGAACCCAGGAGGGGGAGGTTCAGTGAGCCAAGATGGCGCCACTGCACTCCAGCCTGGACTACAAAGTGAGACTGTCATGAAAAAAAATATATATATATGTGTGTGTGTGTGTGTGTGTGTGTATATATATAGATAGATAGATAGTTAAAATTGTACTAAAAAACCAAAAATATATGATCAATATTTTACCATGCAGCATGTCATAATAGCAGCACAATATAAACATCAGGTTTTTTAAATTATAAATAATTAATTGCTGCCCTGACCAGAAAAACTATGGTCTCTTCATACATTGTCTTCATGCTGTATCTAAGGGACAGTGAGTATTCCATGTTATGCTCTGTATTTGACTATACTGATATCAAGAGATTTCACAATTTCTGCCCTGAATATGAATGACTTATAAAATTAATAAAAACAGACCCAAAATAGCATTATTTGTAAAATGTCTATGGATTTTCTGAGAACTAGCTTATATTTTATTACAGTTGGTGCTCCCGGTAATTTTATAGAAGGGCATTAGTATACCCATGCTATTTTAATAGATGAGGAAACTGAGGCCTGAGGAGTTTAACCAAGGCAAGGAGTACCAATGATATTTGAACAAGGACATTTGTCCTTCAGCCCAGCTCAGAGCTTATATTGAAAATAGCAGATTATTGTTGCAAGTCAGTTATTCTCGGTCAGTATTTTGTTTGACACATAGGATATATTCAGCAAAATGACGTGGAGCATTGCCTTAAAAATGAACGTATATGGGCCAGGCGCGGTGGCTCACGCCCGTAATCCCAGCACTTTGGGAAGCCGAGACAGGCAGATCATGAGGTCAGGAGATCAAGATCATCCTGGCTAACACGGTGAAACCTCATCTCTACTAAAAATATAAAAAAAATTAGCCAGGCATGGTGGTGGGCGCCTGTAGTCCCAGCTGGTAGGGAGGCTGAGGCAGAAGAATGGCATGAACCTGGGAGGCAGAGCTTGCAGTGAGCAGAGACGACACCACTGCACTCCAGCCTGGGCAACACAGCAAGACTCCGTCTCAAAAAAACAAACAAACAAACAAAAAAACCTATATGTAAATGGAAAGGGGATATGGAGAGATAAACCTGACATTCAAGTTCAACTTATATTTATTAATGGCTACTTTGCACTAGCCATTCTCAGTGATCTTCTTCTGAAATATGGGATTGAATTCTCTCAACATACTCATCTTCAGTTAAGGAAACCAAATTTTGGAAATATAAAATAGCTTGATTAAAGGCACACATCCAGCAGATATGGGAGCTAGAATTTGAATGTAGCTTTCCTTAATACAAGCCCAGTGCCGTCTGTATTGTTTCTGATGTGTAGTTGATGAATACAAAGGCATTTCATCATGCCTATAGAAATTCACAAAACAAACTTATTTCAGAATTTTCTAAGTGTAAGGTATCAAGTGAGTGTGTAATAGAATTCTCTTGCTTATTTGTAATTGTGCATCCACGTAAATCCTTATAATCACAACATATATAAAAATCAAGTGGTGTTTTAAGGATAAGCAGCCAGAAATTGTGACTCTTCATGTTAACACAGAACAAAGATCTGAACTGACAGTTTTCAAGGCCAGTTTAAAAGTTAGACACACGCATAAATGAAGGGTCTTTCTGTGTCTCCTTGTTGGTACTAACGAGAACACAGCAGCCCACGTCACCACATTGCCATTTGTTGTGCACCTGGCAAGCTAAGCAATGAGCAGAAGCTGATCAGAAAACTTTTTATGAGAAAATGCATCCTGAGAATGAGCTAAGTGATGGGAATTTATTTTTAAAGTGTGAGTCAGTGCTTTGAGAGCCAGTATGAAATGCCTAATGCATGGGAGATCCATAATACTGAGAATTCATTACATGTTGATGAATTGAATGAAATGGAAATTTCCCTGTATTACTTCATTGTACACATGACTCTAGTAATCCTAGAACTACATGAACTATGTCTTTCATATTTTGGACCCGTTTGGAAGTCACCCAGAAAGACTTCCTGAATTTTTTTTTTTTTTTTTTAAGATAGTCTTGCTCTGTCGCCCAGGCTAGAGTGCAATGGCTGATCTCAGCTCACTGCAACCTCCGCCTCCCGGGTTCAAGCAATTCTCCTGCCTCAGTCTCTTGAGTAGCTGTGATTACAGACACCCACCACCACATCCAGTTAATTTTTATATTTTTAGTAGAGACGGGGTCTTGCCATGTTGCCCAGACTGGCCTTGAACCCTTAACCTTAGGTTTACCCGCTTTGGCCTCCCAAAGTGCTGGGGTTACAGGAGTAAGCCATTGCGCCTGGCCCTGAAATGTGTTTGATGAGGGTCAGGGGTTTTGGATTCCTGTTATTGATCTATACCAGCTCAATAACATTGAGTAAAACATCTGACCCTTCTGAGCCCACCTCTTTTTGTGTCCTCAGACATAAATAGATTTTCAAATGGAGATTATAGAAATCACCCTTTCATTTTATAAGTGAAACACATGAAGCCCACAGAGCTTGCTTCGTGTCACAGTAGTCTTTACTCTGCTTTACAGTAGTTGAGATAATGGAATTTTAAAATAATAATGAAAATAAATAATATTGTTACCGGTATATGGCCTTGAGCAATTCATTTAATTTTTTGGCCTCAGTTTTTTCATCTGTGTAATTGAGGATATTGATAGTATCAATCACAGAAGTTAGGATGAGATAAAATAACCCTAAAATATTTAGCACAGCGTCTGGTATGTGAGAGCACCTAATTTCCTCTTTTCTTTTCTTTTCTATTCTCTTCTTTTCTTTTCTTTTCTCTTCTTTTCATTTTCTTTTCTTTCTTTCGTTCTCTTTCTCCTTCTCTTTCTTCTTTCTTTCTTCTTTCCTTTCTTTGTATTCTTTCTTTCTTTCCTTTCATTTCTCTTCTTTCTTTTCTTTCTTTCTTTCTTTCTTTCTTTCTCTTTCTCTTTTTCTCTCTTTCTTTTTCTTCCTTCCTTCCTTCCTTCCTACGTTCCTTCTTCCTCTTCTTCCTTCTTCTTCTTCCTTCCGTGCTCTTTTCTTTCTTTTTTCGTCACCTCCTCTCCACTAGGCTCTGTGCTAGGTGAGAGATATACAACTGTGACAACTACAGATAAGCTCTCAGTCTCATAAATAATGCAACCCAGCAAGGAACACACGCATGATAAAAATGCATATTATTTTTAAAATAGTCCTTGTGATATTTGCTATGAAAAAAAAAAACAGGAAAATATAATACCAATTGAAAGAAGAATAGGATCCAAAAAAGTCCTTTAAGGAAAAGTCATCTTTAGGAGAAACCTGAAGAACACCTAAACTGAGAAAATGTCATAAGAAATCTAAATATCAAAAATAAATAAAAACCATGTAAATCCAGGTAAAGAGTGGGTAATAAATGTTAAGTAGAAGAAACAGAAGCCGTCATTCTCAGCAAACTAACACAGGAACAGAAAACAAAATACCACATGTTTGACTAGTAAGTGGGAGTTGAACAGTGAGAACACATGGACACAGGGAGAGGAACATCACACAGCAGGCCTGTCAGGGGTGGGGAGCTGGGGGAGGGATAGAATTAGGACAAATACCTAACGCATGTGGGGCTTAAAACCTAGATGACGGGTTGGGAGGTGCAGCAACCACCATGGCACATGTATACATATGTAAAAAACCTGCATATTCTGCACATGTATCCCGGAACTAAAAAAAAAAAAAAAAAATAGCATGTGCTAAAATATGCAAGCATAAGGACTTAAGAGACCGTCACAAGTCCCTCTGTGATGGTCTCCACGCCTGCGTCCTGGGCATGTCTCCCATTGTTTCTCCATGAACTCTTCACTCC